GAATTGCATCTCTCCCAATCATCATAAGTTGGATCATCTTCTGCAGGTTTCTTTGTCCTCCCATTTACAAAACCTAATTTGTTCTTCACAGAAAGCGCCAAAGACATCGCACGCTTCCAGGCTCCAAAACTCTTTCCATCAAAGATCTTCGTGACCAGCATCGTTCCAGGATTATCGCTTTGACTCAGAAACAAAGGATTCGAATAAGCAGAGGCATTCATGTTCTTATTCGCTGTTTCTGTTTGTTTATCAGTCATATTGAGACTGACGAAGAAGAAAGAAGCAAGAACAAAATTGAACAGGAAGGAATTGAAATTGAAGAATGAAAAATGAGAAGAAAGTCAGATTTGATTGTGTTGCCCTGATACCATGTGAGACGAGAGCAGAGAGTAGAGAGAAATTAAGAGAAAAGAAAAAGTAGAAGCAGCTGTATATTTCTGTGTGTAATGAAAGTAAAAGGGAACAGTACTATTTATACAAGGGGAAACAAAACAGCCTAACTAATTAGAACTAACCAACATAAAATAATAACTAATTCTAATACCTTTTCTCATCAAAAACGGGTTTCATCCATCTCCATTGTCAAATTGTTTTGGCTGCAAAAAGAGTGGGTAGATTTCTGATGGGTTCCGTCTATCTCCATTGTCAAATTGTTGCAGGTTTCTTCTCTCTACCAAATTAAAGATCTAAATGGTGGGGAATTAGGTATTTGACAAGAGATAAGTTTTTTATTTTAGCTTTAGGGACGTTGGGGATTGTTTATTGACTTATTTCGGTATGATGTCGGTAATAAGTAATAAATCATTTTTAGTGTTTGAGCGAGAAAAAAAAATAATATTTGTATCGGTGCCAACCAGTAATAAAGAGTTTTTGATAAGTTATAAATACAGCTTTGAAATCTAAATTACATTTTAATCCTAAACTTAATAGAAGCTCCAATTGTCTTCTCCGACCAAATTGCACACTCTCCGAACACCTTTCTCCGCTCAAACTCAAAGTCTCCGAACAACTTCCTCCTTTCTCCGATAAATCATACCCAATGAATTAAAACTTAACAAAATAAAGAAAATCAAACCCAACCAAATCAAACAAAAAAATTAAACCCAAAATAAAATAAATTGCTTGAAGGAAACCCAGACCTGTTGAAGGAAACGATTACACTCGCAACAAATCAAACCCACAAAAAGTCACTTCTATATTGAAATCAAAATCAAATCATAGAACCCAAAAATAAATTCGAGGGTTCATAGTGGGTAAAACCACCCTACCAAAATTGCTCTTATTGATCAGCGGAACAGAGAATCGATTAGAGAAAAGTCATCGGTGGTGGTCATCATTGAAACAAAGGAAGGAGAGAGAGAAAGAGAGGGGGGGGGGAGGCAAGACCTGTGACTTCCTCGATTGCATATGCTACTGTTCGATGGTGGTGTTTAAAGATTTGGAAGTTATATGGAATAATGTCTTTTTTGGTCATTTTACATGAACAAACAAAATTTGTTAAACACTAAAAAACAACTTATCAGTTTTTACGTTTTGGTACCGTCATAAGCTAATCGAAACATTTTTTTATAGAACTCCGGTTTGACACCACATAAATTGATAAACACTTTTACAAAAAATAAAAATAAATAAGTTGTTAAAATAAGCAATCTCAAGCACTCCCTTAGACTAGAGTTTTTTCTTGTTCTGTATTTAGATTTAGGGTTTTTGATTTGGCTGGCTTGTATCTCAATTTTTTTTGAATAAATGTGCTTGTTCATCTTTATGTTGAATTCAACTAAAGAACTTGATAATCAACTGTGTTCAATTTTCTAGTTAAAGAAAGAATTTGTGTTTATTCATCTTTATCTTAAATGTGTATTCAATTTATGGGTTACAAATTTGTTTGATATCGGTGGTGATTCACAATAGGGACAATTTGCCCCTGTGATTATGTGGTTTGTTTTGGTTTTGCAGGTCGATTGCATCAGAGGAAAGGGGTGGGATTTGGGTTGCAGGTTCAGGGGATGCTATAGAGAAAATCATAGGTTGAAGTTGAGGGCATGCTAAGAGGAAAACAACAGGTTGCAGATCTTCTGTTAGAGGAAGGAGACATCATCCTCGCCGGAGTTACGAGGAAGAAGGCAGGCATGAAAAAGGGAAAATCACCAAAATAACCGGTTTATGCGTAATGTATTAACAAAATGTCACTTTTCAACGTATTGTCACAAAATAACCGCCAGGATCGCCCTGGGGGTGATTTGACCTCTAGCGACGAAATGGGTCCCACATGTATCTGATGTGAGGGATAAAAATCAGTTATTTATCTGAAAAAAGGGGATCGCCCCCACCTACCCAGGATCGCCCCCAGGGGCGATTTGACCCATATTTTGTCCTTTAGTCCGGACATTCTATGACACACCGATTTGACTATTTAGAGGTGTTTTCTGAGGCATTGGGGCGATTTTGGTCCTATATAAATGTTCTAGTAATAATATATATGTTTTACAGAAAGTCTTAGAGACTCGTTCCTCCTCACAAAATATCACTATATATAGCTTGTGACCTATCATTCATTTTCCTCCACACCTCACTTCTACTATCATATCTTCTAAATTGACAAAGGAAAAAACGAAGGTTTCAAACAATTCTACTCTCATAACCCTTAACTTTTAAACACAATCTACCATCACAATATTCGTCATAAAGTTGCCATTAACTTGTTAAATCATGTATGACAATATTCGTCATAAAAGCTTACAAGATTCTACTGGAAAGCCTGACCTCTACCCCCTATTTATGCACTATTGCCCCTACCCTATAGTTGTCATAGTGTTGTAAAATCGTGTCATAAAGTTGTCATGAACTTGTTAAATCCTGTATGACAATATTCGTTATAAAAGCTTACAAGATTCTACTGAAAAATCTGATCTCTACCTCCTAGATTGTGTTTAAGGGATACGGGTTGTGAGAGTAGAAGTGTTTGATTTTATAGAGAAAGACCACAACACACACACATTATATATATATATATATATATAGACACATACACACACACACAACATTTGGTCCTAAAACAGACAAAATGTCAGTCAAAATCGTTTTCTGTTTATTGAAAAACACTCATTAATCGTCAAATCAGTGAGTCATAGGATGTTCTCACTAGAGGACAAAATAGCAGTCAAACTTTGGTCAAATCACCCCGGGGGTGATCCTAGGGTAGGTGGGGATGATCCTCATTTTTCAGATAAATATCTAATTTTTGTCCCCTAAATCAGATAATGTGGAACCCCTTTTGTACTTTTTTGGGTAAATCGCCCCCATATGATTAAATCACCCCGGGGGCAATCCTGGTGGTTATTTTGTGACGATATGTTGAGAAGTGACTATTTTGTTAATACATTACGTATAGACCGGCTATTTTGGTGATTTTTCCCATGAAACACACACACACACACACACACACATATATATATATATATATAATATAGAAGGGGAAAGATCGTGTAAGAAGGAGAGTTAAAGATAAGCGTAATGAGGGATTTGAACCCTTGATCACTCTTAATCTTAAACTCATTTACAATTCACGTTTGATATGAAGATTGATCCGGTGCATCTCATCCTAATGTGCATTCAAGAGTGAAGATCATTTCTTACGCTTCTCACCTTTTAACTTTTTTTCATCGGAACTTAAACTTAATATACAATATAAAAATTGTATCAAACAATTTTTTTTATTTAATTTTTTTTAGCAAAAACATAAAATAAAATAAAAACTAGAATTTAGAGATTTTAAACGGAGTAATTAATGCAAGATCACTTTTAGAGCAAAATGTAAACCTGAAGGGTGCTTTTTAGAGTTGTCAAAGTTGAGGTCTCATTTTTAGACATTTTACTAAACCCAAGGACCAAAATAGAGTTTACTCATTATAATATTAAAATATTTAATACAATTTATAAAATATTATTTCAAACGTTCTAAAACGGAGATTTTGAGGATTTTTACTTCAACAAATTCTCTAAAATAGAGAATATAAGAAAGATGTTAAATTCTCCAAATTTGGAGAACTCTCCAAAAATAATTGTTTATGAAAAACAAATCATTTTTTATTTTCTCTACCAACAAGAATCTTTGAAATTAAATGCATAGAAAAAAGAAATAATATTTTAAAAAATGTATTAAATAATTTAATAATATAATTAATATTGTAATCTTTAAAAGTAAAAAAACTTCCGAAGATGAAAACAATTTTTTGTTTGAGATTTTAACTTTTAATTCTTATCTTGAAAAATCTATTTTTATTAATAAAAAGAATAACAAATTATTATCTTTCTTAAATAATCATTTTTGGAAAATTATTAAATTTTAAAGAATTTCACTATTTTTTCTTACTTTGTCTATTTTAATTTTTTTAAGAATATCTCTATTTTTAAATATTTTATTTTAAATATCTTTTAAAAATGGTCATAAATATATTAAATTTTATACCATAAAAGTTATAAACTTATAAAAAACTAATTTTATAATAATATGTTTTTAAAAATAAATAAGGATTAAAGTAATTAAAAAAATACAAAAATTATACAAATGAAAGTAGTTTTGTACTTGTAGGTTAATCGGCCACACGGCGCACCCCATCTCATTCAGCACATACCTACATACACTCTCTCTTCTCATACTTCAACAAAATCTCTCTGCTCTCTCTCTCTCTCTCTCTCTCTCTCTATATATATATATATATTGATACATATATATACACACACATGCATTGTTGTTGAAATCAAAACCCTAGATAACTCTGGATACCGATCCTAGCAATTTCGGATCGAAGTTGGTGATCGGCATTACCGGTAAACGGTTTGATTGAAGTTAATAGAACTGGGATTTTGGGGGTTTTTATTTTGCTTGTGATCGATTTTAGAGAAAGAGATGTATAAAAACCAGCTACAAGAGCTGGCACAGAGGAGCTGCTTTAATTTGCCGTCCTATACGTGCATAAGAGAAGGTCCAGATCACGCGCCGCGGTTTAAGGCGACTGTTAACTTTAACGGCGAGACGTATGACTGCCCTAACTACTGCATGACGCTGAGACAGGCGGAGCACTCCGCCGCTGAGGTGGCTCTCAATGCACTTGCTACCGGTGGTGCCTCTAATTCTTTGGCTGCCAGAATACTGGTGAGTACTTGTTTTTTATTGTTTGCAAGGTTTGTTCTTGCACCTTCAATTTGGGAGTTTGGTTCCTTTTAAGAGATTGACAGCCATTTCCTGCACATTTGCTATTCGTTCTTGCTCATAATCAAGAATTTATTTGGCTCTTTACCTCTTTTTCTTTGCCCCTAATAGATTTGCAAAAAAATTGACTTCTTTTTCTTGTTGAGACAAACTGGAAAGAAATCAAAAGAATTTAGGGGAGTGCAATAATCAATTACAACAAATTGCAAATAGAAACCAACTGCAAATGCACAAAATTGATATGGTTTTTAGTTCAAGGGTTTTCATTTATTTATTTATGGAATTATGGCTATGCTCAAGCCTCAAATTGAGGTGCAAAAATGAACAATGGGAATGCAAAAATCAGCTCCTTTTATTTTCTTCAACGACGTTTTTAATTGATGATTAGTTAGCTTGAGTTTGTGGTTGTGTAATATTTGTTATCTCAATTTTAGAAACAATTAAAAAATATATCCAAAATTGGCACTGCCATGGAAAAAGGAAACCTTCCTTTGTTGTTTTATGGAACTTCTCATTTTTGTTAGTTTTGTAGCATCACAACACCATCCATGTCCAAAATTCCTTTGAAAATCCACTTCTTGATTTGCAACTATTGATTATTGATATTATGGTTGCTACCGTTATTCATATTGGATGGGCAGGAAGAAAACGTGATAACTGTTCTTTTCTGTATGCATTGGGTTATACTTCCTCTACAATTGTCATGAAGGGGATATGCATCTAGCAGTATGATTTAACATGGGGGTGTCTATGGCTCTATGCTGTTGCAGAAAAGAAGAATGGGTGTGTGTGTGCCTTTGTTCTCTTATACATGATTTGTTTTGTTAATTTTTTTTATCTAGGGATCTAGCAGAAGCATCGATTTATTTATTTGTTTGAATGTAGATAAAGTACACATGCTGATTCTAAATTTTAGTGTAGTTGTTAGAGCTTCTAATAATTAAAGTAATCTTCTGATGTTATGAAGTACATATAACATAAAACATTATACAATGGTGGAAAAGTGGAAATATTACCTCCAAGATGAAATAAGTTGTCCATCATCAACTCAGTCAGATCTTCTTGTTTGCCCGCTTTGATTAGGCTTCCTTAAACGGATTTGATCGGCATTTCGTACCTGCAGTCCTGCTTGATGAATGCAGGTTTGAAAAGTCAAGTAATACACTTGCTATTTTTTGAAGTGTTCAACAACCTAAGTAGCGGGGATGCTTATGCCTAAGAGGCTGTCAATAAACAAAGTGGTATTGATACCTAGGCAGAAGCTTAAGCAGACGTAAGTGGGAAATTTTGGAACACTGTTCTTATGTGATGATATGCTTATATTAACACCGTATATTACTATCCACGACAAGATGCTTTAGTTTTCACACAAACAATCATGTTTGTGATGCAGTGATTATGTGGTAAGAAATACCTGAGATGTAGTAGGTAGAAACTATCCTTGTACTTCGGGATTAGTTCTACAGAAAGATGGAGATATTTGAGGAGGGTGCATGTGTGGTTTAATTGGTGTCAAGCTTCATAAGTCTTGTTTGATCTAAAAGTTCTATCGAAACAAAAAGGTAAGTTCTATAGGGCAGCAACAATGCCTGCTATGATCAACAATACAAAATGTCAAAATGTTTGGTCACCAAAAACATGTACACAAGATGAGCTTGGCAGCAATGCAAATGCTAGAATGGATGTGTGGCAAACAGTGAGGGATATGATTCGAAATGACGCATACTAGAGAAAGTTTCCATGGAACTACTTGAGAACTTATGGCAAGACTTTTTGAGGTGGTTTGATCATCTGTAAAATGGACATTCAAATGTATTGATAGGTGAGGAGATTTGCACCAAGGGGAGGCTTTAGATAAGATTGACATGCCTAGAAACAATGTTGGGAGATTTGAAACCAAACCAAACAGGCCCAATATATCCCACCCAAATGTGCGGTGGGGGGGTTGAATGTAGACCTGACGTCCACCCAATGGGTAGAGCGGTTGTTTCTGTGAAGTCCCATGGCTTGTGCATAGTATGGTAAAAGACACTAAAGAAAGAACAAAAAATTGAAAACAAAAAAGGTAGTGCTGAGCTTTGAAAGGAAGCTAGAAGTAAGCAACTAAAAATCACAAGGAACGAACGACTGCACTGCACACCCCTGGTCTAACCTAGGATTCAGGGAGTTGGATGAGTAGTATTAAGGAGTTGACTTAGACAAGACTGCATAGAATGATGCTGCGCATGTCCACTTTATGTTTGTTTTTGGATTGCATCATCTGAGTCCAATTTCATTTTTAGCATTCCCAACTAGTTACCTAGAGTTGGTGTGTTTTTTTAGCTTAGAATCACATGTGGATATATTATAGGCTAGCCCCCTTGTTTATTTGTCGTAGCCTTTTCCCTTTTCTCATGCGTTTTTTCAGAAAGCATTTCAATTCAACAAGTTAATATGTTTCTGCTGACAAGCTCAAGTAATCTTTTGTTTTTACCTTTTGTGTTTTACATATTGATTTACCTAATTATCTCACTCATGTTGTCATGGATTCACACACGTCATGCACTCAAGGTTAAAATGAAGTTGTAAAACTCTTCTAAGTTCTAATTTGAATCCTTGATCACAAACTCTTTATATGAAATTAGTGTATATGAATTTTCTATTCCTAATATGAAGTTAAATTCTTTAATAACATTATCTCATCAAATAATAGTACACAACATATATGTATACATATGACATACACTTGCCTCCTTAGGAGGTTACGCCTTGAAAAAAAGCCGTGTCCTCGCCATGGCGCGTAGGGCTTGACTTTGCCGCAACCTCACGCCATTTAGAAACTTGGTTTTTTAGTACCTTTTCATGGTAATGTTATCTAATTGGCATATGCCACCATTTGTCATTAAATTTTTTAGCAAGTACTTGGCAACTGATTCACTGAACATATTTCTAAATGAATTTTGAGAGATGCTCATCCCTCTCAGGACCTGATACGTAACAAATGTGCAATTTCCATCGCAAACTTAACTTGCTTAAGAACTCTGCTAAACTTTCAAATGGACAGGATGAGACAGGGGTGTACAAGAACCTTTTGCAAGAGGTTTCTCAAAGAGTAGGAGCATCACTACCAACTTACACCACCTTCAGATCTGGCCTTGGCCATTTGCCTGTCTTCACCTGCACCGTAGAGTTGGCTGGTTGCATATTTACAGGCGAACAAGCAAAGAATAAGAAGCAAGCCGAAAAGAATGCAGCCATGTCAGCTTGGTTTTCTCTGAAACTTAGTAAGTCATCTGCTTTTAAGTATATAATATTTATATACAGCCAATACTCACTCACACTCCTCACCTTTGGTGTTTGAACCCTGGGCTCTACCGATAATCTGGGTACTGCTGGGCCAATGACCTAAGTCATCTGATTTTGTATCGAAGTCTGGGCCTACACACAAGACTGACACTCTTTCACTCTGTTTATATAGTGACCCACCACTCAGAAAGTCCGTATGTGCAAAAGGGGAACATCGAGGAGCAAGAGCACGTGACAGTCGCTCGTGCTTTACAGAAATTCAGATTAAAGGCAAGGATGTCTAACGTACCATTTCCAATCCGATTTCCAGCACCGAAACCAAAAGTAGTTTCTTCACAATCACCTCCATCCACAACTTCAAAAATCCTTCCTTTAATATGCCCCAAAACGACTCCTCGAAGTAGGCCTCATCTAACCACATTAAATGATGCCCAAACTTGCACAGAAACACCTCAATACAATAAATACATGCCCTCATTTATAAGCACCTCAACAAATGAGCCCCCTGAACACCCTACCGCATGCCGAACCCACAAGTTCCCTGCAGTTGAAGCAGCACCCTATGTTCCTGTGCGGCACTTGGGGGTGCATTGTGGAATGGCTCCACCTGTGACTATACGTAACGCCATTCCTGTTTTCTCTGCTCCACCACGTCCTCCTCCAAATATGGGTATAGCGCAGCCAAATCAGGTCCCTCCACAGTTTAGGATGCCAACCTTGCGTACTGCACCACCTCCGGTCACTATCCGGCAAGCTGTGCCCGTTTTCGTTTTCTCTGCTTCTAAAGCTTCCATCAAGCCAGTGACCACCGCTATGCCGCCAATGGAAGAGAAGGTAAATGTGGTGAATCCTGAAGATCCTCTGAATGCAGTCACTACTACTAAAGCACCATCACTAGAAGAGGAGACGGTAATTTCCACCAGCCCAGCAGACAGTTTGCAGATGGTAACGAATGATGAGAACAAATTGCAAGAGAAGTTGATTGAGCTAGAAATTTGATATCTTAGGTAGGATTTTGTACTGGATTTGATTCTTCTATATAAGCTCTTGTTTTTTCTGCAACTTAAAAATGTAGGCTTCCATGTTCTTGTTTAAAAGAGACATGCCCATTCGGCCTTAATTGTTGGACCTATGTTGGTTTTGTCTGTTCAAGGGTTGCCGGAAGTTTGATCAGGCGCTTAGGTCTAGGCGGCATCTGCGAGCAAAATTGTAGAATTTTTATTTGTACTATGATGTAAAAGGTTTAATGATCTGTTTGTTTTGTGCTTCGGAAACCTTACGATAATAATATGCAGATATCCAAACTTAACAGATGAAACAAGTTTTTTTCATTTAACTCGAAATGTCCATGAAATATTGAACCCAATTCATGCCAATCCAACAGTTTGTGGTTGTAGATTGTATCTGGTCTCATTTATCACCATTTCTGCTTTCAATTTCTATTTTCTTCAAATTGCACTACAGAACACAACTTCTATAATCTATTGTAGAGCCTGTTTCATATTTCTACCAAATGCCACTTGATACTGGGAAACCATGCAAAGATTGGAAACCATTTTTGGCATTATGGAATTAGTCTCCAAGCTTGATGCATAATCTCATCGTTCACGAAGGGGCGCAATGACCACATCAAGCAGTAACTCTCTATTTCTCCTGACGATGTCTTTAGATTAAGGGAAGAAACGATCTTTTCCTGCAATGTAAAATTTCCATTATACCCTTTCTAACGTATGTGAGGACGATACCAAACGAAAAAGAAGCTCAATCACCTGCATCACATAATCCTGCTTCACCATGCTATATACCACGGCTACCATGGTGGCATAATCAAGAACTTGAGGTTTCTCAGGCACAGATGATACCATTCCCTCCTACAGTAATATAATAGTATCAGGATCAATGTTATGTTTGCTGTTCTTCGTACCAGATTCAATCAAATAAAACAACTTTAAGGATTTCTCTATGAACATAAAACACGAGAATTGAAGAGCAGGGTGTGATGAAAAGAGTGATGGAAGAACAAAAAAAGTGACATGAAGTTACCTCACTGTAAGTAGCTGCCAAATCAGGACTACCTTCTTGTAAGGTTTCACTTGCAGTTTCTATTGCCAACTTTACATCCTCAACAAGGCATTCAAGTTCATTCATGATAACTTTCGCTGCAAATAAAGATTCCATTAGAAGCGCCAAATATTTATGCAAAATTCACCGTCAGAAAGTATGTTTTGTAGGGACAAACGTAAATGGAAGCATTTATACCCTCCCTTTTGTTCCATGAAAATTGCAACTATTCCTTTCTGGAAGGTCCAATTCATATTGCAACATTTTTCTGGAAAGTTCTCATCGACAAATTACTCATTTGCTCATATTATCATTTATAAATAAATTTACACTATTGAGTTTGGGTTTACAAGATTTCTTGGTTTATCTTTATGGAATGGCATTTTAGATATATGACAAACAAACAAAATATTTGTCATAAACTACGAATCAAGATTTCATGGTAGACTTAAAAAAGCATCATGTGTTCTATGTGCAAGATTGGGCTGAAAATTAATTATAGAGGTAAAAGCTGTCGATTAAAAACTGAAATTTACCAAAGAACAAGTAATTTAGAAGTTGCAAGAAACCAAAATACATGATGCATCTTCAGACACTTGCATTCAGCATAAGAAGACTGTGAAGAACGAAAGCAGCAGCAATTCTAGGTATGAATGTTACCTTTACTCATATCATTCAACAGTTGAACATGGCTCGTATTCACTTCTGTATGCACATCACCAAAAACCGAAGAAAAAGAAAGTTAGACTATCATGTTTCATTAAAGAGCGAATAAAAATTGTATTACATAATGCAACACTTACATATACATAGATTCACAGAAATACATATGGAAGAATATATTTTTTATCCACCACTCTTGCAGAAACATCGAGTCTGAACATTTAACAATCACTTACACTTGTTGAGATTTTCTGCCTTATTGGTAGCGTGTGTGCATCCAGCCTTAATGTAAGACTGAATCCTCTCAGTTTCGTTAGCTCTAATGACCTTCTGAAAGAGTTCTGATGTCTTGTCAATAGAGGGTCTGCGGATGAACTCTGCACGAGACCATGGAGATCCAATATCTTAATAAGATCAAATTACCTCGCTATACCATCTGCAAAAAGACTAAGAAATCAAAGAAATTCACCAAGCGCTTGACGAAAGCTAACAAGATATCTATTCCCTGCAGCAGCTTGCTCCTCAAATTTTGCAACCCTGCCATGAAAGTTTCATGATGAAACTATGTATTAGAAATTAAGTGTGATATATATACATAATTCTATTAGAGGGTCTAGAGTGTAAATGTATCTCTTATATATATCACTGATTGTAATCGTGATTCATATATATACAACACACAAATTACCTAGTTTATCTTGGTATCAGAGCCGGTCCTAGACACCCTACAACTGCCGACCACCCTCTGCCATCACAAGGCAACCCTAAAGCTACCGCACCCGTCTTCTTGTAACCCTACGGCTGCCGCACCTTTATGTCTATCAATGACAACTATTGCAGCTTTCACTCCAACCGAGAAAACCACCCATAACTCCCACAAGTGTTTGGCTTCAATTTATCACCAAACAACTATGGCCATTGGAAGGCAATGGTTCAACCGTTCCTTGTTACAAACAACCTGTTCGGCTATGTTGATGGCACCATTCCCTGTCCACCGATGACTATCTCATCATCATCATCATCTGGAAAAGGTGCCGACGGCACCACAGTGCCGCCACCACAATCAAATCCTAACTACACAACATGGGTTTCCAATGATGCACACATACGGATGCTGATTATTTCTACAATCTCTGAGGCGTCGTTCCAACACGTTCAAGGACTTACCTCCCGTGATCTTTGGCTGTCTCTTGAACGTGCTTATGCTCCTCACACATCATCAAGGGAATACACCCTAAAAATTCAACTTCTTAAACTAGAGATGAAGCCTGATGAAACCTCCTCCGCATACCTGAGCTCAGGAATATGCTGATGCTCTCGCCAATATAGGCGAACCAATGAAAGAAAAAGATTTGGTGATGCTCGTTATCTCAGGTCTTAGAGAAGAATACAACGGGCTGAAGCCAACACTCCTTGGTCGCCAATTCCCAACTGACTTTGAAGAACTTCATGGCCTGCTATCATAGCATGACTATATGATCAAGAAATCTACAATTGACATCTCTCCGCCTCAAGCATTCACGACTATCACGAATAACCGCAACTCAGCGGTTCCTGGTGCCACCTCGTCTACTCCTCAACCGGATCAACTTCAAGCTATTCAGCGGCTTCTGTCATAATTTGGTCTTCAAGTTCAGCCTATTAATGCACAGCCTGCCCAGACCTTTTACACCAACAGATCTGGGAATAACCGTGGCCGTGGCAGTGATTCTAGATGCGGACGAGGAAACTACAACAACATAAGTCAAGGAGGAGGTAACCGTAATCAATTTAGTTGGCCTTCTAATCAAAACACTGTTTCTGGCACATGCAACAGGTGTGGGATTGCCCTAATCGCGACCCTGCTCCTATGAGGACGAAACAGCCACCTTCTGCCAACTTTACAGATTACCGGTCACAAGCTTGGCTTCCGGATACCGGCTCTAGCCATCATGTTGCACCGGACCTATCTAGCTTCGATAACTCTGAGGCCTACTACGGTGAGGACAAGCTTCACGTTAGCACTGGTAAGGGTTTACATTCTACACATTGGTTCCTCACAACTTTATTCACCAAACAAAACCTTTTCCCTTAAAGCCATACTACACGTATCTGACATAAAACAGAACTTATTTTATGCTCAAAAATTATGTTTTGATAATCATGTGTGTTCTGAATTTCACTCTACTTTCTTTGTTGTGAAGGACAAGTTTACACACATTATCCTCCTCACGGGTCCAAGTAATGGTTGTCTCTACTCCTTCCGTCCCCCTCAGCCTCAACCTATTCAAAAAATGTCATTTTCTACCGTACGTGCCTTTTCCACCACATGGCACCAAAGACTTGGACATCCACATCCACAGCTTTTGAAGTCCATGTTGTCTAAATAAAATTTACCTTTACAAAATAAATGTGCTAGTACTTTTTGTGATTCATGTTTTGTTGGCAAATCGTCTAAACTTCATTTGTTACCATCTACTTATAAAAGTTTCGCACATTTTGGATTTAGTTTTCTGTGATGTATGGGGGTCCGCTCCTGTTCCTTCTTTTGATGGTCACAATTATTTTCTGATGTGTGTTGATCATTACTCCAGATTTATGTGGATTTTTCCATTAAAACTAAAATCTGATGTTTATGCCACTTTTAAACGATTCCTTGCAATGGTTGAAAGACATTTTCAAACCAAACTGAAATCTCTCCAAACCGACTGGGGAGGCGAGCTTCAAAATCTCTCCCAATTCTTCTCTCCTCTCGGCATTACCCATCGCCTCTCATGTCCACATACGCGCGAACAAAATGGCTTTGTTGAACGACGACATCGACATGTTGTTGAAACCGGTCTTACTTTACTTGCTAAATCCCATGTTCCATAACGGTTTTGGCATTTTGCTTTTGACACCACAGTTTATCTTATTAATTGAATTCCATCCAGAACCAACTCAAACACCTCAGCCTTTGAACATGTGTTCAAGCACAAACCCGATTTTTCCTTTCTTCGGGTTTTTGGATGCCAATGCTACCTTCATCTCCGTCCATACAATAAACACAAAATGGACTTCCGCTCTACACCTTGTGTGTTCCTTGGTTACAACACCGCTCATCATGGCTATCGGTGTTATAACCCACAGTCTGGTCGTTTTTACGTGGCCCGTCATGTTCGATTTAATGAACAATCATTTCCTTTCCAAACATCTCCTACACCTACTCCTACTCCAATCATTCCAAATCCTTACGTCTCCACCTATCCCAAATCTGACCTACCACCCACCTATTCATCCTCCACAGGACCTAATGCACATTTTGCTCCACCAGAACCGACACCCTCAACAGTACCTATTGTGCAATCTGTCCCAGAAGAAACAACACCTACCACCACCATTCCTAATGACCACCCCACGGCCCAACCACCCCTCATTCACACCTATCACCATCTTTCCAAAGTCACCGGACAAACCCGATCATGTTTGCCTACTTCACAAATCCTTATATGGATTAAAGCAGACCCCTAGAGCGTGGTTTTCATTGACTTTCTACGGTCCTTCATTCTCTTGGCTTTCAAGGCTCTAAAACGGACCCTTCCTTGTTTATTTACTCCCACAGGGGCACCATTTTATACATGCTAGTCTATGTTGATGACATTTTTTTGACTAAAAACAACCCGGAGGCTATTGACAAAGTGGTATAACGTCTTAGCCAATCCTTTGTTGTTCAAGATATGGGTCGCTTGTCTTATTTTCTCGGTATTGAAGTAACCAGGGTAATGATATGATTCTATTACAACGGAAATACATCCTTGAACTCTTGCAATGCGCAGGCTTGTCTAATGCTAAACAGGCTTCATCTCCTATGACCACTAATGCTAATCTTGCTCTTGGTGATAATGCTACGCTTGCTGATCCCGTCAAGTACCGCCAAATTGTGGGTGCCCTTCAGTATGTGACATTGTCTCGTCCGGATATTACTTTTGTGGTCAACAAAGTATGCCAATTTATGCACTCCCCCACTGAAAATCATTGGACGGCAGTCAAACGAAATCTTTGTTACTTGCCAGGGCACTGCTGACTATGGTTTACGAATCATGCATGATTCAGGCACAATCCTTCATGCCTACACTGATTCTGCTTACAACTCCCTGGCTGGCTTCTCCGATGCTGACTGGGCTGGTTACCCCGACGACTGTAGATCCACTGGAGAATATGCTATATATCTTGGTTCAAACCTAGTATCATGGTCTGCACGAAAACAAAGGACTGTCTCTCGGTTGTCAACAGAGTCTGAATATAAGGCTCTAGCCGATACTGTTGCTGAGCTCACATGGCTCCAAACATTGTTGTGCGAAATCCAGGTTCCTGTGAAGTCGGTTCTTACCTTATGGTGTGATAATCTTGGTGCTACGTATCTTTCAGCTAACCCCGTCTTTCGTGCCCATACCAAGCATGTAGAAGTTGACTTTCACTTTGTTCGAGAAATAGTTGCGCAACGGAAGCTTTCAGTTTAGTTTATATCTACAGATGGTCAGATTGCAGATGTGTTCACCAAGCCGTTACCTTCACAACGATTTCTCCAATTACGGTCCAAGCTACAGGTCGGTCCCCATCCTTAGCTTGAGGGGGAATATTAGACAATTAAGTGTGATATATATACATAATTATATTAGAGGGTCTAGAGTGTAAACGTATCTCTTATATATATATATATAACCCTGATTGTAATCATGATTCATATATATACAACACACAAATTACCAAGTTTATCTCTGTGTTAGATCAGACAAGGCCATCGAACATCACATCTGATATAACTCAAATAGTGAACACATGTTTTTGTTTTCTTAAAACTCGTTTCTTAACAAGGGAAACATCAAAATCAAGTGTACAAATATCGATTATTAGATTTTGTAAGCCGTCTTTGGTTTTTTGCAAAATTACATGGTTCCAAAACACAGGCTTTCTATCTGAATTGCACTTTTTTAACAACATAGACAAACAACCAAAACATAAAACTTCTTCAAATGATAGCAAGTATGTATCCACAATAGACAAATTAAAATTTGTCAAGGACATATATAGATCTAAGGTATGAGACAAAATGTAACTGTAGGGATAGTGGGTAACTAAGAAAACATTGATTGTTGGAACTTGAAAGTACCATAAACTGGAAATTTAATGAGTCAAATAACAAAATTATGCCATTATGCATCCAAAATTCACTTACACTAATTTTAGATGGATATATGAATCCTTCCATTCGGTAACTTTTTTGTCCTTTTACTGCTTCAATGGCGCTATTGATACAAACATGATTTGTGGTGACGGTTTTATTTGGAAAAAAGTTTCCCTTTACCTCCAAAATGCAGAACATAAAAACAAAGATGACCTTTCAATGGATTTATTAGAGATGCTAGAATTATATAGATTATTATGCATATCCTTATTTCATGAGATAGTGAGATACATAAAAAACACTAGATCAACCTTTCCATGAAATGTGAAAATATCTGGAGAACTTTCCCATCTATTTCAGTGCTCAATCTAGTTTCTTCTGTTCCCATTCTGCAAAAATAGTTGAAAAGCCAAACAATATGAAGTCTTTATCACATGTTAACAACCAATACTAGAACAAGTGAACAACTCTAGTCAGGAGCACCCAAACAGGGGAAATAGAAAAGAGGAGATGGAACCTTCACCCATTCCCCAACATTCATGATGGACAACAGAAATAACAAAATGCACTACAAGCATGCACCAAAATAATAGAGACAATTCCACTTTAAGAAACTAACTCATGTTCAGCTAAATAAAAATTAGACACAACTTTCATATGTATTTAACTCGAGTAACTGAATCCTGTAGTTGGAATTTGACGAATTTGTATCAAAATTGTCCCTCTCACTCAAATAGATGATGATAATATTTTTGGGAACATGTCCTTAGGAACATTGTTGGTGTCATTTATAAAATAATTTGAATGTTTCTTTAAACCAAATGATAGTATAATGTTTAAGTTGTATCATCTTTGTGACAAAATATCAGTACAAAGTTAAACACCGCATGCATCCTTCCCGATAGCATGAGTAACATTTATTTTGAATAGAGAGAGCATGTGATAGCACATACCCTGTATGATGTAACATACATAAAAAGCTTGCCCTCTAAGAGCTTGTCTTTCCTAATTACAGGAGAACACCAAAAAAAGGTTAAAAACATGAGGTCCATTGCCCTTGTAGAACTGTTGACATCGACAAACAACTGGTTCAACAAGGTCGCATTTGCATCATGCTCCTTTTGGTCAAAAAAGGGGGCTACAATTTGATTATTTTATGTTAACCCTAGGACTATTCAAATGCCAGATTGATATGGATATTTTTCAAATTTGATACCAAGATTCTATATTTATATTTCCAGGAAGCATGATTTCATTTTCCTATAGGAAGGTAAAAAAAAAAAGCACCTGGTGTAAGCCTTCTTTCTTTGAAGGGTTTGTACACCAAAATTTAATAGGTTTTCAAATCAATGATCCTTTAGTAGAACCCATTGATTTACTCACTCGGGAGCTCTTTTTATCCAAAACCTAACAGTTTCACCTTTAAATCCAACACTTGGAACATAGTTGACGTTGGATACAATAATATAACATAAGAACCTTTACAAGTTCAGAAACACTCGGTTAGTACCCCAATAATTTCAATTAAACAAGTGGGTTTGTACCAGTTGATGGAGATGTTCAGGAACAGGAGTTTACTCTGTTAAAGATGCTCTCTTTTGGGACACTTTTGAATCTTTAAAAATTCCAATTAGGGACCTGAAGCTGTAGTCCTTAGAACTCCATCAATTAGGGCTACTCGGGGTTCTTTAACTCAAAATTTTGATTGATCAATATGACTTCGAAGTAGATACCTATTATTATTATTATATTTCACAAATCCAATGACAATAATAACAGTCATAAAAAAAGCTTTTGCAGTTGTGCTTACAAATAGAACCAAACAATAACATGGATATTACCAATACAACTAGAAGAAGGTGGATAACCATACAAAGCTCAAAAACCAAAAATCAGCAAATATCGATTAATGACCATGGTTTTCCCTTCATATTCAAACAAAGCTCACAAACTAAAAACCCCAAATCGCCCAAAAAAGAAAAGAAACGAAGGATAAGAACCAACATTTGACAACGCTCTCAATCACCCAAAAAATTGCAAATAAAAAACTCTGGTACTTGAAAAACAAGATAAGCATGGGATCATACACATCCAGCATAAAAGACATAAATTATTATTCATTAAAAAAACCCAAATCTTGAAGCCTTTACATACAAACGAGAGACAATGATCATACCTGGAGACCGACGAGGATGAGAGCAATAGAACGACGGCGAGAGAACGAGAATCGACAGGACGAGCTTCCAGTCAGAAAAGAAGAGAGACGGATTAACGCAGTGTTCGAAATTGGGAGGAAAAAGAACGCCGCAAATTTTTGATTCTGTGTTTGAGTATGGGTGTCAGTTTACCATAACAAACCATATCAATTTTTGTATCAACGGTATCAATTTCGATCAGAAATTATTCCGGTACGGTAGTGGTAATAAGCTTTTTTTTGTTTTAATGTCGGGGTAAACAACTTATATCGGTTTGACATCGGTAATAAGAAGTTTTTGAATAAATTTAACTCTTCTAACTTATAATAGGTTAATAAATGTTTTTGTAAAAAAACATAAGTTGTTTTAAATAAGCAATTTCAAACACCTCCTAAACTTGGTTAATACGTGGTATTAGAAGTACTAGGTACTCATGATAAATTGATAATACGACACCGTACTGATTTATTTATTTATTAATTAAAGTTTAATTAGTAACACAATATATTTTGGTTATAAATTTTAAGTTATCTAGTTTTAAATTTTGCTAAATTATAATAGGAATGGATATATAGAATTTGATTGAATTCATTTGTCTAACTCTAATAATCTTAACAACTCGTCCACACCTCCATGGGCCATCGACACTCTTTAATTGTAATTTGTAGTAGACTATTAGTGAATGCTTGTATTATATGAAGATTATTTGAATGCTTATATAGGTAAGGATAAGTGGTACAACACATATCAACATGTTATATGAATGTTCGATTGTTTTAGTGTATCTAGATCTAATTGGTAATTAAAGATGTCAATTAAATAAATTTCTAATTTCAACTTTTCCAATGTTGGTACAAATACCGTACCAACATGTACCAACCGAAAAAGTTGGTACCGAGTATAGTTAGTTGGTACATGGTATAAAATTTTGCATACTGATTATAATTGGTTGATACATGATACATGGACAAAAAAAATCATGGTACCGTACCATCTTCACCCCTATGTTTGAGGGTGAATGGAAGGTTCTGGTTGGTTTTCGATTAACGGGTTGTTTGGTTCACTCATGCGGATTAGTTTTTGAGAAAATTTTTGTTTGGAATGTTTTTTGATTGATCAAATTAGCGTGTTTTTAATTGGAAGGACATGTTTGGGGGGAAAAACTTGTTTTTTCCCATACAACTCCTAAAAGTTTACTGAATAAGCCATTTTTATATAATTAAATCACTGTCAAACAAAGAAAACATAACATAACATAGTCAGAAGTCCTGTTGGTCTAAAAATATCCATCTGCTCTCTTAAAACATACAATGTCCACCAAATCCAAATCAAGCAAAAGATACACAGACTGTGTCATGAAAGTTGAGAAGTTGTATACACATGGCTTAGGGTGCGTTTGGTATGTGGAACAGGGTGGGACAGGACAGAACAGGACACATTTGTCCCATGTTTGGTGTGTTTCTAAGTGGAACTAAGTGGAACTAAGTAGAATAAGAATGGGACACGCGAGTTCTACCTAATACCCTGGAACTAAGTGGAACTCAAACTTATTTCCCTCAATACCCTTTTCCCTTTCACCCGGCTTCTTCACAAAACATAAGACAGCCTCCATCGCTCCTCCTCCATTGCTTCCTCATCGACAGCGAGCAGACCATCGACGGCGACCAG